GATTCATAAGCACACGTGCTCATACAATTATTGTGTAAATATTTATTGTATTGATTCAATAGACATTAGTTTATTGATCTAAGTTTACCATAAGTTTCCCATAACTGTTACTTCGAGATTGTCTATAGATTCTCATATAAATAGCAAAAATTGCCATAAATTGTTGGTCAGTATTACAGATCAGGCATTGGATTAATGTTTAACTAATTGTGTTTTCAATGTTTGACAAGTGTTTAAACTGAAAATACCAAAAATATTTGCCAAGTATTAAATAACTAGTGATACAAATGGTGTGAATGTGTGATAAAATTGATAAAAACCTTTGATATTTAAATAGCCTTAAGTTTACGCTAACATTTAGAGCGCATGTAATAATTGTGTTAACGTTTAATACATAACGTTATTATAAATACTATTCAAAAATAATCTCAAAAAATACAAACAAACATAAAGTGTATAACAATTAACTCAATCACTAATCAGGGAATAAGGCGTGAAACTAATTGTTACAAAAAAAGTTTTTCATTAAAAAACTACACGATTTTCACTGCAGTTTCCAATACCCTCTGGGCTTGAAATCAAGGCTTCTCTTCGCTTGTATTGACAAAACTGTGTAATAATTTGGACGTAATTTGAGATCCAATTGGCAGTGAATGTCAACACAAATGCATTGGGAATACAGTGTGTAATACAGAGTGTATTGCGAGTTATGAATGAGAAAATACAGTGTATTTTGTTATGAAATCCAATCATATGTGGCTAAAGCTCTCGCGTTTTTACAGTGTGTATTATACTATACACAGCACATTACACAGCATTGTGTGTATTGTGACGCGAGAGTTATAGCCACCTCTGAATCCAATGGCTTTTCAGTTGTTTATCAAATAGTGTTGTGTTTTTTATTTGAGTGCAAATGTGTGAACACAAACTCATTAGACATTTATTTAGTAATATTTAATTTAATTGTAATTATAATTATTTATCATATTTTGTATTCATTATTATTAACTCCGTTATAATCAACACATTTGTGTCATTCGTGTATTTGTTTTGTTAACCATTTTTTGTTGTTTACAATCAATCGCTGAACAGTTTGTGAGTGAATGTTGTCTTCAGATCGAGCCATGAATACAACTCATCCATAGCTCGTGTCCACAATCAGCTGAAGACAGACAAATAACATCACCGGCGGAAGCGATGCTTAGACCAAAACAATGGTTCGGGTGGTCATCGAAGCCCAAGAACCCACACTCGTTGGAACAGTTAAAGTATGCCTCTCTTTAGCCACCGATGATGTGATTGATTAGTCAANACAACACATCCGTTGATATACTGACTGTATTGACAGCATTTGCGCATAATTTCAATCAACAAATGAATCAACTCTTCGTGAAGTGTTTCCGATTGTTTAGTTGTTTGACTAGTGTTTGCTTTGGAGGACATATCGTGCAGAACCACTTCTTTGAACTTGTCTTCAGCAATGCCTTTAAAATTCAACACAAATTATCATTAAAAATGCGAACCAAAGAGACATGGATTCCACCGATGAATACCTGAGTTATGGATAATAGCGTAGAGAAGACACAACGAGAATATTGTCATCCGATCGTCGGGTTGACTGTCAAAGTCCAACGAATTAAGTATTGCCTCCAGAAATGGCTTATTTTCGGTCAGATTCTGTTTGGCGATCGACCGACTGATAGAAAGGCTGGCCTTCTCTTCGTCCGTCAGTGACGTGTCAGTCATCTGTCGGGTGGGACTCATCTCGCAGTCGATATCAGATCCGGCGCCGCCGTCGCTATCACTCCGATTATGGTTTGTATTATTCGTATCCCTATTACTATTATGAACCACCGGTTGTTGCTCTTCATGGACTTGTACTGTGATGTGCGTCGGACTCCTCTGATCACTGATGGCTGCGGTGACCGTAGTATCGCTGTCGACGACACTATTCATCGAGTATTCATTGTTTTCTGAGTCGTTTTCGTCGCTATTCTGGGCTTTGACGGCATGTATGAGCGACTCCTCGAGTGTCTCGATGGGCGCCGCGAACTCCGGCCAATCGAAGATTGTTTTGTTACTATTCAACAATATGTCGACTAATTTCAAAAGCAGACACTTATTGGAAACGATGAGAAAGACTTGTGTGAAGAGAAAGAGTGACACGTTTTGAGTGATGTGCGGTCGGGTCTGTGCGGACGGGCTGTTGGCCTTCGAGCCGGTGATCAGTGAGAATATGTAGAGCGGTATCAGTAGGCGATTGAGCAGATGATCACTTAACACATTATTTAAGTCATTGATGTTCAGCAGAAGGATGTCATTCAAGTAATGCAAATGATCTAAATGTTCGGCCACTAAGTCGTCCAAACGGATCAGCACTTGAAAGCCACTGAAAAATACGGATTTAAAATTATCCATAAATACAGTCGTTAAGACATTTCAACGAATACTTACTCTAATTTACTTTTGACTAAACAGTTGTCGATATCAATGACATGATTGCCTATAAACCAGACCAGGTTTGAGAAATACGGCGCTGCCGTACAGTCCCTAATGAACTTCAACATCGATTTCTCCTCCACTTTATATACGAAAACAAAACAATAAATTTAATAATCAATTCATTTGATGCAAGACTTGTTAACACAGACCTCTGAAGACGTTGAGTGTGAGAGTGCGGACCGCTATTCTGACCATCTTTTCGGAGTGATTGAAGAATTTGATGGCTTCCGTATAGAGAGGGAAGTCATTGGTGTGTTCGTTGAAGAAGAAGTGTATTGTGTGCGGATTCAACTTCAGTGACAATGTCTTCAGAAACGATATATAGTATGCCATCACCTCTTCATCCGAGAAATCAAACTTATGGACAATTATTGAATTCACGTGATTGTTGGACAACAAATAGTCTGACAAATAAAGAGATACAGATAATCAATCATTTGAATGGTATGTCATGTCTTCGGCCACAGTCTTTGTGGTGACAAAACACTTACAAAGAGATGTCTCGTTACGGATGTTCTCAAACAATATATTGAGTGTCTGAAGAAGTTGTACGCATACATAGGAACCGCACTTCTGTTTCATTATCTTCAGAAAGAATGACAACATATTCTTCTCCAGAAAAAAACTAAACACAGTATCAAATGAATGAATCAATCAAATGGTGTGACCAATGATAATGTCATAAGAAATGGTGGACTCACTCGAAGACAGTGCTGTCATTCTGATCGCCCCAAATCAGTATCTCTGCCACCGATCGCAACGTCTCCACCAGTAATGTCTTGTTCTGTTCGCTGACCGTCTGGTTCTTCGCCATCACGTTATACAGGTATCTAAGCGTCAGATAACGAGACAATTGACTAATCAATCACATCATCGGTGGCTAAAGAGAGGCATACTTTAACTGTTCCAACGAGTGTGGGTTCTTGGGCTTCGATGACCACCCGAACCATTGTTTTGGTCTAAGCATCGCTTCCGCCGGTGATGTTATTTGTCTGTCTTCAGCTGATTGTGGACACGAGCTATGGATGAGTTGTATTCATGGCTCGATCTGAAGACAACATTCACTCACAAACTGTTCAGCGATTGATTGTAAACAACAAAAAATGGTTAACAAAACAAATACACGAATGACACAAATGTGTTGATTATAACGGAGTTAATAATAATGAATACAAAATATGATAAATAATTATAATTACAATTAAATTAAATATTACTAAATAAATGTCTAATGAGTTTGTGTTCACACATTTGCACTCAAATAAAAAACACAACACTATTTGATAAACAACTGAAAAGCCATTGGATTCAGAGGTGGCTATAACTCTCGCGTCACAATACACACAATGCTGTGTAATGTGCTGTGTATAGTATAATACACACTGTAAAAACGCGAGAGCTTTAGCCACATATGATTGGATTTCATAACAAAATACACTGTATTTTCTCATTCATAACTCGCAATACACTCTGTATTACACACTGTATTCCCAATGCATTTGTGTTGACATTCACTGCCAATTGGATCTCAAATTACGTCCAAATTATTACACAGTTTTGTCAATACAAGCGAAGAGAAGCCTTGATTTCAAGCCCAGAGGGTATTGGAAACTGCAGTGAAAATCGTGTAGTTTTTTAATGAAAAACTTTTTTTGTAACAATTAGTTTCACGCCTTATTCCCTGATTAGTGATTGAGTTAATTGTTATACACTTTATGTTTGTTTGTATTTTTTGAGATTATTTTTGAATAGTATTTATAATAACGTTATGTATTAAACGTTAACACAATTATTACATGCGCTCTAAATGTTAGCGTAAACTTAAGGCTATTTAAATATCAAAGGTTTTTATCAATTTTATCACACATTCACACCATTTGTATCACTAGTTATTTAATACTTGGCAAATATTTTTGGTATTTTCAGTTTAAACACTTGTCAAACATTGAAAACACAATTAGTTAAACATTAATCCAATGCCTGATCTGTAATACTGACCAACAATTTATGGCAATTTTTGCTATTTATATGAGAATCTATAGATTGTCTCTAAAACATCGAAAAATAATCGTAACTTTTCTTATTCACAAAAATAATAGTTAAATATTTGTTGGAAAACGAAAAATATTATCATTTTATTAATCATAAAAAATAAATTCATTTCGTTTAGCAATACGTAAGCGGCGGGAGAGGGAGTCAGAGAGCGGCCGCAGACGTGTGCCAACCGGTGTCTCAAACTCTTTCGCATTTATCGCCGGACACTAACGGCTGCTGCGATCGGTTCTCGGACTTCGAGCGACTCCGGCGGCGACTAGACTTCGGCGACATGTCCTCCAACGGTATCATCTCTTCGGCGTCGGCCAGCGTTGGCCGCGGAGACGAATCGCGACTATGAGATGCGCTGCCACTGCCTCCGCCATTGGGTGACGTCGAAGAGGCAGATCGGCGCCGATGTAGCGATGGCTTGAGGTGTCGGTTGGGGTTGAGTTCGGCGACCACTGCCGACCCGGGAATAGCCGGTCCTCTGCATAACGGTTTGTGTAGATGTCGTTTCTGGAGTCCGTCGTGATTGGAATGACTGCGAGGAATGTCACGATTGGACGACGACGAGGCGCGGGAACCGACCGCAGAGCCTCCACCGGCGCTGCCATCGCCACCCATTTCGATGAGTCGTGCGATTTGATGCATCTTCCGCTGCCGCGACCGCACCCGCCCTTTGGTGAGCCTCTGTTTGGCGGCCAAACACCGGATGTGATCGTCGAACACAAACTTGGCGTTGAGTTGTGTGCGGCGAATGGCACTCGTCTGAGCGCACGGCCGGATCTGGATGTGTAGCGAACGGGAGTCGTCTTTGTCGGCGCTCACCTCTACGTCCTGAAGCCAGGCCACAAACTTGGCCACTCCCCACCCCAACCGCTTCGTGTCGGGCTCTATCAGCACCAACTGTTGCGCGTCGATCACCATAAAGCGCCTCAACTTTGGCTGATCTTTGGACATAACGGTACACGCGATCAGATCGCTGTTGTCTGCGGCGGTCCAATGCAAGCATCAAATGATTAGTGATAATGAAGCGGTGATTAATGGCAGACATAAGATACTTACTCAAGTCGAGCAGTTGATCCACTTTAATACATGAGTCATAGTTAGTGAGCGGTAATTGAGTTTCGGTCTCATCTCTGAGACAAAGCGACAGATTTCGCAATAAGAAGAAGACTTGTATGGCCTGAATGTTAGACAACATAACAAAAAAAACATTATTTAATTTCACACAACAAGTGGTGACTGAAATGGACTGACATATCGGGTGCGCTCGACGTCGGCGCAGGGGAGGCGTCGGTTGAACTCAATGCCGGTCATCATGAGTGGCGTCAATTGGTTGGGCGGCAACAGTAGCTTCGAGTCCATCATCAGGTACTCGACGTTGAGCTGTCGTTTGAGGAGCTGCTGGTGTTCGTCTTCAAACATGTCGAGGAATAGCATCTCCTCTTCGCTCTTATAGAAGTTGCGGAGGATTAGTATCGCCTCCTCTTTGGCCTGTTCTAAGACAGCCAAGTGATGGTCCGACAGAATCGACACACCATTCCTTATCACCAGACGCTTCAGCAATAAGACACTCATCTCTAGTGTTATTAAACGTATTTTGCTATCTATTTGAACAACGAATCGAAAATAATAGTTAAGTATTTGGCGCTAAAAACAACACATCCGTTGATATACTGACTGTATTGACAGCATTTGCGCATAATTTCAATCAACAAATGAATCAACTCTTCGTGAAGTGTTTCCGATTGTTTAGTTGTTTGACTAGTGTTTGCTTTGGAGGACATATCGTGCAGAACCACTTCTTTGAACTTGTCTTCAGCAATGCCTTTAAAATTCAACACAAATTATCATTAAAAATGCGAACCAAAGAGACATGGATTCCACCGATGAATACCTGAGTTATGGATAATAGCGTAGAGAAGACACAACGAGAATATTGTCATCCGATCGTCGGGTTGACTGTCAAAGTCCAACGAATTAAGTATTGCCTCCAGAAATGGCTTATTTTCGGTCAGATTCTGTTTGGCGATCGACCGACTGATAGAAAGGCTGGCCTTCTCTTCGTCCGTCAGTGA